ACGCTCGTCAATCATGAAGTAACGCTCATCATACGCGATATAACGCTCGTCATACACGATGTAATGCTCGTCATAAACGCTCGTCATACATGAAGTAACTCTTATCATACACGAAGTAATGCTCGTCGTGCATGAAGTAACGCTCATCATGAATAAATGCTCGTCATACATGAAGTATCACTCGTCATACACAAAGTAACGCTCGTCATACATGATGTAACGCTCGTCAATCATGAAGTAACGCTCGTCATACATGATGTAACGCTCGTCATACATGAAGTAACGCTCGTCATACATGATGTAACGCTCGTCATACATGATGTAACGCTCGTCATACATGAAGTAACGCTCGTCATACACAAAGTAACGCTCGTCATAAGTAAAAGAGCGCTTGTCATACATGATGTAACGCTCATCATACATGAAGTAACCCTTGTCGTACATAACGTAACACTCGTCATACATGATGTAACGCTCGTCATACATGAAGTAACGCTCGTCATACATGATGTAACGCTCGTCATACATGAAGTAACGCTCGTCATACATGATGTAACGCTCGTCATACATGATGTAACGCTCGTCATACATGAAGTAACGCTCGTCATACATGAAGTAACACTCGTCATACATGAAGTAACACTCGTCATACATGAAGTAACGCTCGTCATACATGAAGTAACACTCGTCATACATGAAGTAACGCTCGTCATACATGAAGTAACGCTCATCATTCGTGAAGGAACACCTGACACCTTCTGATGAAAGAGGGCGGAGCTATAGCTGTGTAAAAGACACCTGTCCATGGTTTTGTTTAGTTCTGAGGTGTTGTTTGTGTTTCCTCAGGGCCGGCGGCGGTGGTCGGCCTGGCGGTGACCTCCAGGACCTGCAGCAGCCTGGGCCTTTCCTGGCAGCCGGGCCCCGGCAGGACGCAGCACTTCAGGCTGCAGCTGCAGGATCAGTCAGGTACTTCGGTGCACTTCAGGTGCACTTCACTTCCAGTGAACACGCTGCTAGAGACACGTGACCTGTTTTCCTCTTCGTCTCACAGGTCTGCTGAAGAACGAGACATTAGAAAACACAACCACACAGCACACGCTGCTCGGCCTGACGCCCGGGCGACTCTACAGCYTTACCATGTTGACGGAGGCCGGCGAGCTGCAGAACAACGCAACAYTTGAAGCTCAGACAGGTAGAAATGAAGGATGATTGTGGGAAATATTAGAATCTTCTGTCAAAATATGGGAAATAACAGTTGAAAATGAAGCTAAAGGTGAAAGCAGTAACACCATCTGTTCCTTCTGTAGTGCCCTCTGTTGTTTCCAACATCACCGCCAACAACAACGCCACAAGCCTCTGGTTGTCATGGGAACAACCCGAAGGTGACGTGGACGCGTTCGTCGTCACCTTCTCCTGCAACGACACCATCGTCCAGGAGACCACGCTGCCTCGGGACGCCACGGCCGTCTCCGCCCACCAGCTGACTCCTGGCTCAGAGTACCGTGTTGGAATGATGTCTGTGAGCAACGGGCTGACCAACCAATCAGAAATCACCGTCAGGACAGGTGAGTCAGAGACTGATCTCTTCTTTTCTTTTTTTCTTCTTTTGATTACTCTCATCTGTCTTCACCTCTTCTCCAGCTCCATCACCAGTGTCCCTCCTGTCCTCATCTCCTTCCTCCTCCGGTGGCCTCCTCCTGACGTGGTCGCCTCCTGCTGGTCGCTGGGAGAACTACAGGCTGCTCCTCTTTGATGGATCCCAGGAGTTAGTCAGTACCCATCTGGACCGGAACACTGTGAGCTTTAGCATCAATGGGACGGGTCTAACGCCTGGAAAACAATACAGAGCTGTGCTGAGAGTGGAGAGTGGAGGACTGACAGCCGAGAGCAGCTGTGACGCATCCACAGGTCGAGTATAAGTACACAACATTAATATAAATACACAACACAGCTGTGACGCATCCACAGGTCGAGTATAAGTACACAACATTAATATAAATACACAGTAATAAATACACATCATAGTAGACGTATGAAAGTATAAATACACAGTAGTAAATACACATCATAGTAGAAGTATGAAAGTGTAAATACACAGTAAATACACATCATAGAAGTATGAAAGTGTAAAGACACAGTAATAAATACACATCATAGTAGAAGTATGAAAGTATAAATACACAGTAATAAATACACATCATAGTAGACGTATGAAAGTATAAATACACAGTAATAAATACACATCATTGTATGTAGAAGTATAAAAGTGTAAATACACAGTAATAAATACACATCATAGTAGAAGTGTGAAAGCATAAATACACAGTAATAAATACACATCATAGTAGACGTATGAAAGTGTAAATACACAGTAATAAATACACATCATAGTAGAAGTGTGAAAGCATAAATACACAGTAATAAATACACATCATAGTAGAAGTGTGAAAACGTAAATACACAGTAATAAATACACATCATAGTAGAAGTGTGAAAA